AAATCTTAAGGAATTTCCTCATTTTTTGCAGGTTTTTTTGGAAGGCAGAGATCCATAGCCATAGCTATGGATCTGGAGCTCGAGCTGTGGAAATCTGGGGAGAAATTGTGAAGGTCAGAAACTTGCAACTATAGCTGTGGTTCTGCAGCTATAGCTGTGAAAATATGGAATGCTTATCTTTTGGTTCTAGAGACTTGAAGCTATAGCTGTGGATCTGGAGCTCGAGCTGTGGAAATCTGAAATACAATTTGAAGCTCCAGAGAGTTGAAGCTAAAGCTATAAACTCAAAGCTAAAGCCATGGAGCACCCAGGATCCAGCAAAAACTCCAGAGATCCACAGCCATAGTTGTGGCTTCACAACTGCAGCGCTGGAGGTTCCTTAAGCTTGAAGGAGTTGCCACAGCTATAATTGTGAAACCACAGCTGTAGCTTTGGAGGTTTCTTCACCCTGAAGGACTCTCCACAACCATAGTCGTGGATCTACAACTGCAGTCGTGGGAGTAAAAGTCACTTTTTGGCCCTGTTTTGAAGCTCATATAAAAGGGGAAAAATGAAAAAACAGGGGTATCATGAAATTAAGGAGAAAAACAGAGTAAGGAGGACTTGAAGAGAGAACCATAGGAGGAACTACTACTTGGGTAGCTGGGTCATTTGGGAACGAAGCCCAACCCCTTGTTTTCATCTCCAACTTTGTAATCTCTTCTTTTACTTCTTAGATCTTGTAATGGCCATGTGTGGCTAAACTCATTAAGGATTGGTTGGATGTAACTACTAACTCCTCTTCTTCTTAAATATATGCATTTTGATCTCATTATTTGTGCTTGATTCTTCTCTTAATGCTTATATCGTCTTGATCACCCGTTGTATGATTTTTGGTTTTTGAATCCAGTTGGAAAACATTTTTGAAAACCCGAACTGAATCTTGCACCTAATCATTTCTTGTTCTAGGAATAGACTTGATTTGGTTAGTCACATTGTTCAAGTCATTGTTCTTAATGCAAAGTGTTAAACTCAAAACATAGAGGAATCATGTTTTGAGCTTAATGACTTTAGGATTCAACCTTGAGGAATCTTGTTGGATTACTTAATGAACGTGGAAATAATGAAATTAGAATCGCATTTATCTTAAGAAGATCTACGAGTTAGCAAGTACCTCTGAACCAATCCTTGTTTCTTAACCATTGTTTTTACTACTTTTATTTTATTGTGTTGTCTTACTCTATCTTCACTCGTTTGCAATTATAACAAAATTCTCATTTAAATCATTAGAGCAAGAATTACTAAACACTCAAATCCCTGAGGACGATATTTGAATACTACTTCGAAACTTGGTTCACTTGCCAAGTGGAGAGATTGTGAAAATCTTCATCAGGTATAGATTTCATGGGTCTTTTTCCTGTCTCTTTTGGATTTTCATATATTCTCCTAGCTGTTGATTATGTTTCAAAATGGGTGGAAGCCAAACCCACCAGAACTAATGATTCTCGGGTTGTTGTGGATTTTGTTAGATCTCACCTATTCTGCAGGTTTGGAGTACCTAGAGCTATTGTTAGTGATCAAGGCACCTATTTTTGTAATAGATCTATGCAGGCTTTGCTCAAGAAGTATGGGGTAGGGCACAAAATTTCTACACCCTACCACCCCTAAACCAATGGGAAAGCTAAAATTTCAAACAGCTGGCCAACGTTCCTCAAGTTAGATATCCCTCACTCCCTTATCCAGCCTCACACATAGTCGTTAGTTGGATTTGCAGGAGAACGAGTTCACACTCGAGGGTACGTGGATCTGCTGACGACCTTCGGAACCTCTCCGGATACAAGGAGGATTATGGTCCGATACCTCCTCGTGGAAGCTAACACCTCCTATAATATAATCATTGGGAGGCCGACGTTAAATCAACTCGGAGTAGTGGTGTCCACCCCGCACCTCACCATGAAATTCCCCGGGACTGACGGCAAGATTATCTTTGTCAAGGAAAATTAGAAGACAGCCCGGCAGTGCTACGCCGAAAGCCTCAAGGTCTCCTCATCCGACGAGCATCGCCCGAGTGATCCCCCACAGTGGCTCACATCGCCCACGTGGATATCACTAACCTCGACCCGAGGTTCGACTCCCATGATGAGCGACCAAGTCCCATCGACGAGCTCGATGACCTCAGCGGCTAGGGCACCAACCCCCAGGCCTGCCACACATCGGTCTCACATGACGTAAGCAACACTCCTTCCCACGTCACGAGAAATCAGACAACCTTCCGCCGTCATCCTTTTGTGGACGGCATCATGGAAACACCTCTCCCTTTCGGGTGGAAGCCTCTCCACATCGACCGTTACGATGGCACCATGGATCTGGACGAGCACATCGATCTGTATACCACACAGGTAAATCTTTACACTAATGAGAATGCTATCCTGTGTAGGGTTTTTTCTACCTCGCTCAAAGGGTCGCACTCAACTGGTACACCTAGCTACCTGCCGAGTCAATTGATAGCTTCGGCACCCTGGTCAGACGATTCACAGCACAGTATGCGACGAGCCGACCTCATCACATAACATCAGTTGCCCTGGCCAGTCTCAGACAGAGTGACAATGAGCCACTCCGGACGTTCATGGAACGATTCGCCGCCATCTCGGTAAAGATCCGAAATATGAATCCTGAGGTCGCCCTGCACGCCATGCTCATGGCACTCAAGCCCGGACCGTTCGTCGACAGTCTGTGTCGTGAAGCTCCTCGCGATATGGACGAGCTCCATGCCCATGCTGCTGGGTACATCCAAATGGAAGAACACTCTGCCTTCCGTGACCAGGCTCGCGGAAAGTCACAAGCAAAGCCCGACAGTGGCCACAAAGACAAGATGAAGATCACCAATGACAGTCAGTTCAAGAAAACTGCTCGGACAAGCAAGGGGGGAGATACGACTTCTACACTCCCCTAAATACGCCCCGAGTTCACATCCTAGAGGAGGCAAGTAATAGCAATCTGTTCACCCTGCCACCACCAGGTCACACTCCCAACAGTGCGGACAAGTCCAAACACTGTAGATACCACCGAAACCACGGTCACACCACTGAAGAGTGCCGCACACTCCGAGACCGTATTGAAGAACTCATCCAGGCAGGTCACCTCGGCCAATATGTCCAACGACAGCAGGGTCACAGAGGAGGATAAGGTGGACGAGGACGAGGCAGAGGTAAGCCAGGAAACAGGGTCAACCCCCTTGCGGGGCGTCATTAACACAATTGCAGGTGGCTTCGCAGGGGGAGGCTCTAGCAGCTCGGCGCGGAAACGACATTTGCGTAGCATCAACAACGTTCACTCCGCTACCTCGGCCTCGCATCAAAGCTCGCCTCCAATCACCTTCACTGACGATGACTACGTTGGCGTCAGCCCCAATCAGGATGACCCGATGGTCATCGCCGTGGAGGTCGCCAACTGGGAGGTCTACAAGACGTTGATCAACCAAGGAAGCTCGGCTGACATCCTCCATTGGCCAACGTTCCTCAAGTTAGATATCCCTCACTCCCTTATCCAGCCTCACACATAGTCGTTAGTTGGATTTGCAGGAGAACGAGTTCACACTCGAGGGTACGTGGATCTGCTGACGACCTTCGGAACCTCTCCGGATACAAGGAGGATTATGGTCCGATACCTCCTCGTGGAAGCTAACACCTCCTATAATATAATCATTGGGAGGCCGACGTTAAATCAACTCGGAGTAGTGGTGTCCACCCCGCACCTCACCATGAAATTCCCCGGGACTGACGGCAAGATTATCTTTGTCAAGGAAAATTAGAAGACAGCCCGGCAGTGCTACGCCGAAAGCCTTAGGGTAGGGCTGACTTGGCAGCCACTAGCATGAATAATCTGATGTGACTACATGAGAGTGCTGCCTCCTTCTTTGTTATTTTACATTTTGGCTTCCCTCTTGTTCTTTTTCTTTGACGTTTTGCTTCCTCTTTTCTTTTCTGCTCTCCATTTTTTTTCTTCACGTTTTCTTTGGTTTTCCTGGTTGTATTTTAAGACTGCATTTTGTTGAAAGAAATACAGATTGTTCATTTCATTTGCGTTTTTCTTCTCCTTCTTCCTTGCATTTTCGTTTGTGTTTCTGTTATGTTTTAATGGAAGGCTAAAAACCCTTGGGTTGGCTCCTTGTTGTGGATTGTAATCTCTGTTTGAGGTTGGCTATGTTTGTATATCTCTGTTTTGCTTTGTTCTTCTTCATTTAACCTCTGTATCAATGTTTCCATGCTTAATGGGCTGTGCTCAATGCCACAGTTGCTTAATCTGTGAAGAGGTTGATGTTGTATACGTTTGCTGGGAAATCTTGAGTTAATCTTCGCTTAGTTGGTTAACTCGGATGGAACAAGGATTAAGTGGTTAATAGAGTAATCTTTTGAGAACCAGGGATAGAAGAGTTGCAATCTGAACAGGGAGTCAATCCGTTTTGTTTTCAATTGTTGTGCTACCTGCGTTTTATTTCATTTTATTGTGTTATAAACTAAAAAGAATCTGAAACAAACCCCCCTTCGTGTGTTTTAAGCCTTTAACAGTAAAAGACGGTCCTTGGGAGACGACCTAGGAGTCAATTCCTAGTACTACATTTAATTGCATAAATTTGACCCGATACGGCTTCGATGATCCCCCACAGTGGCTCACATCGCCCACGTGGATATCACTAACCTCGACCCGAGGTTCGACTCCCATGATGAGCGACCAAGTCCCATCGACGAGCTCGATGACCTCCAGGTTGGGAGTCTTCTTGGGCAGTGCACGAAAATCAGCAGATAGTTGAACCCGGAATTGCGGCAACGGTGAGCTCCATCTGCTTTAGTTGGATTTGCAGGAGAACGAGTTCACACTCGAGGGTACGTGGATCTGCTGACGACCTTCGGAACCTCTCCGGATACAAGGAGGATTATGGTCCGATACCTCCTCGTGGAAGCTAACACCTCCTATAATATAATCATTGGGAGGCCGACGTTAAATCAACTCGGAGTAGTGGTGTCCACCCCGCACCTCACCATGAAATTCCCCGGGACTGACGGCAAGATTATCTTTGTCAAGGAAAATTAGAAGACAGCCCGGCAGTGCTACGCCGAAAGCCTCAAGGTCTCCTCATCCGACGAGCATCGCCCGAGTGATCCCCCACAGTGGCTCACATCGCCCACGTGGATATCACTAACCTCGACCCGAGGTTCGACTCCCATGATGAGCGACCAAGTCCCATCGACGAGCTCGATGACCTCCAGGTTGGGAGTCTTCTTGGGCAGT